ATCATGTGGCTGATGCCAGGTTCTGCTTCTAGTTCAATCATTAGGCAGATCTTGTTGGACAATGTCTGACACAAACCTCGACATATCCAGGAAGATGGAAGCTCAGTCAAAGAATTGCTTTCATCAGATTGGCCTTTGGGCATGTCTGTGAGGGCATTTTCTTGATGGTTAATTAATGGAAGGCAGCTATGCTCACCACTATACCACCAACATGATGGTTAATTAATGAAGAAGGGTCCCGATCACTGTTGGCAGTGCCATACCTAGGCAAATACAAGGAAGATAACTGACCCTGAGTCTGGAGTAAGCCAGTAGCAGCGTTCCTCCATGGTCTCTACTTCAGTTTCTAGTTTGGCTTTCCACCAGAAATACATGAGAACTCCTGAGCATGTTTCAATCTTCTTGTTGCTGCTGTAACTAGGTCCTTGAGGCTAAGAAGAGATGGCTGCATCTGTTCAACATTTCATGAAGGCTAGAGCTTTATAACAACTTGATTAATGGTAGCGTGTGTGGGAGGAGAGCATTCAGTCACATGGCGGATAAATATATAATGATGAATGATAAATATTAATACTGGGAAAGCTCTACGGTGGCTGGGGAGAGGCTCAGTCGGTCAGAGTGTTGCTGCACAAGCATAAGGATCTGAGTTCAACTCTCCAGCACTCCTATAAAAAGCTGGGTGTGGCTATGTATACTTGTAACCTAGCACTATGGAGGACAGAGACAGAGTTTCTGGGGTTTGCTAGTCACCAATCTAGATCCAGACTCAGTGAGAGATCCGGTCACACACGCATGCACGCACTCACACGCGCTCACACACACAAACACACATCAGATAAACAGACAAACCTAGTTAACTAAACACAACATTGAAAATTCATGTGGAGGAATGCAAGGTATCTAAAATAGGAAAAAAAATTAAGAATACTGTTAAATTGCTCTTAAGTCTCAATTTCAAATTGCTTCAGGCTACTGTAAACATACCATTACCATAACCAAAGGTGATACTGGCTTCAGGCTGAGCAGAAGGTTCAGTGAGAGCTGAAAACCAGATCTGTATGTGGGCAGTGGAGTCTCTGCAGGAGCACTATAAGGAAAGGTCTTTCAGCCGTTGCATGATCACACAGCAGTTCAGTTTCTACCCGTGCTGTGTACGTGAATTAACGAAGACTAGATCAGAGACTTTGGTGTTAGAAGCTCGACCAGGCGCAAGTCTTTCTGACCTTCAATTGGGTGACCGTTCGTTCTGTGTGAAGAAGCACAAGCAGCTGGAGCTCTAGGAAAAGCAGGTGGACTCCATCAGAGTTAACTCTTGTTCCTCTTTTCAAGAAAGTGAAGGGGCCGAGGGCTAGCTCAGTGGTTAAAAATGTGCTTAGTGTGTTAGCACCAGAAGTGTGTGTGTTTTGTGTGTGAAAAGAATGACAAGTCAGAGAATGGGAGGAAAATACTGGAAATGATGTGTTGATCAAGGTTCTATGTCTAAATTATATGTTAAAGAGCAAAAAATTCGCTTAGGTTTTGAATTGGCTTTTATTTACAATTCATGAGTGGGGTGTGTATCCTATCAAATAAAAGTAGAACAGTAGGAAAACACATTGTTTACCAGGTTCCTTTTCTTATATGGCCTCTTCCATTGCTTACAACTTAATTAGAAAAGCCTGCATTTTCTGCCAAAAACTAAAACAAAGAGAATAGCAGTGAATAGACTTCCCTTAAAAGGTGACGAAGAGATGCCCAACATCCCCGGTCATCACAGACTAATCAAAGCCGCTCTGGGGGGGGGGGGGCTGTGCATGTGTAACTCTGTCCTGGAGTGTTTGTCTCACACACAAGGCCCTGAGTTTGATCCCCAGGACCCCAGATAAGAAGCAATGTGAGGTACTGCTATATGCCCATTAAGATGGCTGTGACGGAAAGGGCAAGCAACAGGAAGTGTTGGTGAGGACACAGAGGAAGTAGAAGCAACACATATTGCTGGTGGGAATGCAAAATGAAGCAGTGACTGTGAAAATAGCTTATTAATACCTCATGATGTTTTGAATCACTGGCATTATCAAGGAAGCGAATAGAGGACTCAGAGTGGGGGCAGCTGTCAGTCACATATGAATATGAAATAAGGGGCAGAATGCGTAAAGGATGATTCCAAATCAAAATGAGAAGGGTAAAAGAATTATCTTATGACACCAAAATTCTATAGCTAAATGTGTAACAAAATTTAAAACTTTTTACATTAGAACTTACATAGAGCTGGGCAGTGCATGCCTTTAATCCCAACACTTGGGAGGCAGAGGCGGGAGGATCTCTGTGAGTTCAAGGCCAGCCTGGTCTACAAGAGCTAGTTTCAGGACAGGCTCCAAAGCTACAGAGAAACCCTGTCTAGAAAAACAAAAACAAAACAACAATAACAAAAAAACCTACCAGAAAAAAAAAACCCAACTTGTATAGAATGTCTATAGTATTGATTCATATTGGCCAGAGAATAGTAATAACCCAGTTGTTCATCAGTTGATGAGTGATGTGTGGGAAAATGGAAGATAAGTCCATATAATACAAAATTAACTCAGCTGTTAAAGGTATGAGGTGGGCTAGGCAGATGGCTCAGTGGGAAAGTGCTTCTAGCATAAGCATGAGAACCTGAGTTTGGATTCTCCAGCACCCGTGTGAAAGCCAGGCATGGCAGTGCATGACTAACTGTAGAGCTGCTAGAGCAAAGCCAGGGGGATCCCGGGGGCCAGGCAGCCAGCCAGTGAGCTAAATTCAACGAGTGACCTTGTCTCAGAAATTAACGTGGAGACCAGTAGAAAACAGCAGACACTGACCCCTGACCTCCACACACATATGAATGCATTCAGACATGAGAACATGTATATACTGCACACATACCCACACAAAGCGGATGAGATATAGATCCATAGAATAATATGAGCAAATCTTAAAATATTATGCTAAGTGAAAGAAGCCTTACAACAAAGACTATATGTTGTATAAGCCCATTGATTGAAAATAATCAAATTCCTAGAGTTAGAAAACCCGGAGCTGAGAGAAGGCGCCATGAGGGAGAGACTGCTATAGCTCTGCATTTATTTTGGCGTGACGAAAACATTCTAGAGCAAGACAATGGTGGCATTGCATAACTTCATAAATATCTAGAAAGATTACTGAATTGTCAACACTTAATAAGTAATGTCTTATATGAAGTAATGAGAATAAGTAATGTCTCTGATTTTAAATCTCTGTTCTTTCTCCTAGAAATGTCAAGCCTTGTTTGCTTTCCCCTCTTCTCTCACCCCGTTTCTCAGCAGCTCCTCTTGGTCATAACTACCTTCCAGATACACTTTCCCTTTCCTGTGTCCTTCTCCTGGCCCAGGCCGTTGTTACCCTCTCACACCCGGCCTGCACGCCTTCACCAGCTTCCTCATGACTCTCCCTGCTTCTTGTGCCTCACTCCATCAACACAGTCCCTGCCAGTTCATTGTGTCCAAACAACAGCCAGACACAGGCTCTTTAAGAACTACGCACGGCAGGACTCCCCAAGCATTTTCTTTGCATCTACCCCACTACCTGAGAAGTTTCTTGTCAAGATTTATTTTATTTTTAAGTATGTGTATGTGGAGGTGGGGTAGGGATGTGGGCACATACACATGAGGCCAGAGGCCAGAGGCCTGGGACCTCCTCGAGCTGGAGTTACAGGCAGTTGTGAGCCTCCCTTTGTGGATGCTGGGAATTGAATTTAGGTCTTCTGCCTGAGCAGCATGCGCTCTTAACTGCTAAGCTATCTCCCTAATCCCTGAGTGAGAAGGTGGGTAGGTTTATAAAACAGGCCGGCAAATCATTTACTGATAAGAAATTATTAAGAAATTTGTTTTTAAACAATTATTTGGTCTACACATAATTTTACCATTTATTAATGATGAAAGCACATTTGCATTCTAATAAGGCTGAAAAAAGCTGGATTTCTCCTTTGTTTTGGAGATAGGGTTCTCACTCTCCCTTTGAGACCCCGTCTGTGTAATCTCCCTATGAGTCAGCTTCCTTTCCTGACTGATGCCCTGTGGTTGCCATCTCTTACATTGAACTGCACAGATACACTTCAGTAACAGCCCTGTGACTAAAACATCTATGTATCTAGCGCATGCTTGCCTGTCTACCTGCCTACTCTCATCTCTAACCACCTTTACTAATCTTTTGCCTAAATTGTCTTTTCTCTGCTAGCCAGTCTTTCAGGCCCTCAGAATTTGCATAGCTAACACCCTCCCATCTGATTGTGCAATGGCTGTCTCCCTTTTTCCTTTGATGTGAGTCTTTCAAATAGACCCTTGGGGGTGTTCTAACAGAAAACACAAGCCTCTCCATCTCAGCCCCTTTATTTCTTTTCTATTTATCCCAGTTTCTGTTTTTGTTTGTTTGTTTGTTTGTTTGTTTTTTGGTTTTGCTTGCTTTTTATGGTTTATTCTCTTTAAATCTGTTTTCCTCGAGATTTGACGATGCTGGGCCTGCTAGTACAGCGTCATCCTTCCCTGCTGCCACCTGTCAATCACAGTGCTCAGTTTATAGATGCGAAGTGACTTGTGAATAGACTACATCCTTTTTGTCAATAATCCCTGAACACAATATTTCACACTCAATTCAGCATTTTAGGATAGAATTTCTTTTGTCTCTAGAGTATATTTTTATTTTATCTGTATGAATATTTGGCTGCAAGTCTGTGTGTAAACCATGTGCATGTCTGGTCCCTGCAGAGGCCAGAAGAGGGTATCGGAACTGGAATTAGAGTTACAGACAGTTACAAGATGTCAAGTGGGTGCTGGGAACTGAACCTACGTCCTCCGTAAGAGCGCTTAGTGCTCTTAGCCACTGAGCCATCTCTCCAGCCCACAAAGTATGTTTGTAAAGAATCTAGACTGACCATACGATTATCCCCAGAAAACTGTTGATGCTTTATTTCTTTCGACATCGCTTGCCACTTTTTATCACTGGTGATACTTTTGTTCTTTATGCAGAATGATGGCAGCTTTAGTACTTCAGGTGGAATTCGTCCTTCTCAACTTCAGAACTGGAAGCAGAAAGTTAGTCGGATGAAGAAAGCAGAATTCATACACACAGCAGAAAAATTAAAGAATCAGTGAGTATAAGAATATTGTCTTCAAATAATATCACTAGCTATTTTATTATGAACAATGTAAAATCAATATAACTCCACAGTCCCCAGTCTCACATTGTTAGGAAACTTCTTGACAAACAACAAGAAGAAGGAGGGAGGAGTGAAATGCACAAGTAGTCGTAACATAAATTAATTATAACTGAACGTTTTCACTTATAATTGTTTTATTTCTATCATTTATATTAGTGTATTTTAAGAAAATAAAATAATGTCTATATTTTATATATTAAATAACAGATTGAATAAATTTTATTCTACAGTTTAGGTAGCTACTTTATGAACACTTTTAAGTGAAGATTATAGAGAATAAGTCTCGAAGTATCTTCTCATAGGTTATGAAATTGGCAAATGATTGATGTAGAGCTATCCCTTCCCTTTAGTTCCTGCCTCCCCACTACAACATGTGATTTCTTGCTCTCTCTCTCTTTTTCAACATACTGAGTTCACATGGTGCTGCCTCTGTATGCATGGTTATAGGATCATCTATTGAAGCATGGGTAACTTTCCAGGACCTACATCCTGGGAAACACTTCACCTCCCTCCTCCAGGAGGCACGAGTTGCCAATGGTTTTTCAGCTAGAGGTGGGACATCATTCATGACAGGCGGGGATGTTGAGTGGCTTGATATTATACATGTGTCATATAAGCAGTCAGTGTTCTGAGTTCATATGTGCAATGTCCATGTCATGTCAGCAGTTAATGTTTCACTGAAGGCATCTTCCACTTCTAGCACTTACAATATCTCCCCTACTTCTTCCTCAGAGATCCCCAAGCCTTGGGGGGGAAAGGTTGATGTTCCATTCATATCTGAGCACTTGTGGGTCTCTGTATCTGGTCCCGACCTCTACATGCCTGTGGTCTGGTCCTGACCCTGGGTCCATAGCTTCTGCTAGGAGATGTGGAGCTTCCTGAGTGAGCGCCTGTGGGTCTAACCTGGAGTCAGATCAGGTTTCCACACCAAATCCACAGCTTGCACTGAAGCTACTGGGAAATAAGCAGGGCTCTTCCCTGCCGTCTTCAGCACCTGGAAGCTGTGTTTCTCCTGAGCAATGCTGCTCTGGAGTAGAGCCCACTGCATCACATGATTGCTCCCACTGAAGACAGGGAATGGTTTGGAATACTGTGTCCATGAGCTATTTTTTCAATGATCTTTTAATTAATTGTCCCCCTGGTTTCTGTTCCTCTCAGATCCATTCTGTATAAGATTTCCACTTATTTCAATTTTTTTTTATCATACATGCTTTTTCTCTTAAACAGTGGTGTTTACTGAACATTCACTGTTGTCCACAGTATCACAATATTAGACATTTGAAAATCTTTGTTAATGTTTCTAGTCCATGAGTAGCAAAATGTAACTATCATCACATATCCTGTGACATTTCTACAGCAGACATTTCTGTTTGGGTCACAGTGATGTCTCTGGTACCCAATAAGACCTTGCTAGGATTCTCAGCCTTAACAGGGCTTTGGTAGCCATTCTCTGTCCGTTAGAGTTGTTATGTAGATGAAGTTGTTGCAATTCTCTGTTAACTCGTCTTCTCACACATGCACAGAGACAGCCCCCTAGCCCGCAGGGCCTGCTCAATCCCACCCCTTTCTCCCAATGTGGCTGTCAGTATAAACTTTCCTCTGTGCTGCAAGGTGGAAAGCGCTGGGAAACTAGGAGAGCATTGCCTCTCCGGTTCTGTGCGATGACGCCATGGGCTGGAGACATCCTGCTGCTTTAGATTCAAGATTAGAGGGTACCTGTTGAATACTTAGGTACTCTTTAATATTTAGGGTAAATATCTTGTGGGAGAAGGAAAACAAACATTGAGAAAACTGATTTCTCTGCCAACTTAAACAAAAAGCCTCCTTAGTAGGATATTTGGTTTTTTCTTGAGGACAGTAACTAACAATTAGAACCTCATAGCCAAAGGTTTCTGTATTTTCAAAGGAAATATGTAATAGTTTAAATTATAATTGGTTAAAATTGGACTTACTTGTTAAAGTTAGATAATGTTTTGACCCCTTAACCTTATTAGTCTAAGTAATTATATTCCTTTTTAATTGAATTGAATATAAAATAATAATTATTTTGAATATCTTCATTTTTTAAACAACTAAAATATAATTAATGCATATTTCTACCATCTGTTTCTTTTTCCAAAGAGTTATTGTTATAGAAAAAGATAAACACAGTCATTTCTACAACCAAAGAGGGGACTTCAGAACTGAGCACAGCATGCTGGAAGAATTGGAGAACAAACTGATAAACAGCAGGAAGATAGAGAGTAAGTTGGGTTCGCGGTGAATTACAAACTGTTGAGTGACCTAAAGGCTAGTGGTGGCCCGTGTTGTACTTGTGCATTGACTATTGTCCAGTGGAGATACGTGACTGGTGATAAGTTTGTCTCTTAAGGACATGTATTTATTTTATTTTGAAGTTCATTCTAACTGAATTGTTTTCTTCCATATTAATAGGTTAGACTTGATTTTGAATGAATTAAGTCAGCAAAAACTGTTAATATTTATAAAATTAAAATACTTCATTTCCTGTGCTATCTGGGTCTAACTCATCAATAACCCTGGCATTGCTGATTGCTAGTACTAGACCCAGTAAACATCAGTAGAGTCAGAGCCAACACCACTGGCCATACAAAGGGATAAGAACAGGCCATGCCCAAGCCCAAGTTTCCTTGCCAACGTTCTAAAGCCTACAGTTTCTACCTCCCTCCAGAGAACTGCATCTGATACTGAGATGAAATACAAGAGCATACCTTACAGCTTATACAGTGAAGGTGCCGTTGTTTGTTATGTAGATTAATCATTATCATAGGGGCTGAGAATACCTTGTAGAGTCGAGTCTGCACTTTGCAAAAATCCTTATAATACAAAAGCTACTTATTGCTTATGGAAAAAAATAATGGCCATTACTAAGCTTTAAAATATTGATTTGCAAAAAGAAAGAAAAACATAGATTTGCTAGGTAGAGATTAAACTGCTCCTGATACTGTCTTATCACACTTAAAATAATTCTAGTGATTTTTCCTTTCTAAATATAGGGTCACACCTCTAATACCAGCACTCAGGAGGCAGAGGCAGGAGGATCTCTGTGAGTCTGAGGCCAGCCTGGTCTACAGAACTAGTTCCAGGACAGCCAGGAATCCACAGAGAAATCCTGAATAAAAAACCAAAACCAACCAAACAACCAAACAAACAAAAAGTACCCCAACCAAACAAAAAACAAAACCAAAACAGAGAATAAAACATGTTAAGCTTAAGTTACTTGGCATGCTTTTAAAATGATCGTCCCTAAGTCTGTCTCCATAGAAGGAAAGAGAGATGCATCTCCATGACACGGGTTACAGTGGCATGCTTTATTGAGAGCAGCGACAACTGACGTCCAGATGTTCTGACATAAATGGCTGCTGTTTAGTATGGGTTCATCTGCAGAAGCCTAATTGTAGCCACACTTGTCACAGAGCTAAAGTACGGACTTTCCTTACAGGAGCAAAGATCCAGCAACAGTTGGCCAAAATACATAACAATGTGAAGAAACTTCAGCACCAGCTGAAAGACGTGAAGCCCACGCCTGACTGTAAGAAGAGTTAATAGAAGATTCTCTTTTGTATATTGCTGTTTCCTGCTGGTGCATGAGAACATGCATGCTTTTCTCTACGTGTCTCTTTCATTTGGCAATCGTGGAGCCAGCCCTACTTCATTAGTTAGGAATTAGTAAGTGTAGAGTGGAGAAGTGGGGTATCGGAGCTTACGTGGGATTTTCAGCTTTTAAAATGCCATTCAGTCCTTAACGTTATAAATTAGGGAAGAGACACCATGAGGTGGAAACACTGGCATAGGAAGGTTCAGATTTAGGCATCTAAGTAGAAAAAGACTTCTCAATTCATAGCCCTTACCCTGCTTATCCTGTCATTGGCTTTTGAAAAAAAAAATATCTTTCAAAAGTATTTAAAATATATAAGGAATGGTTTGACTCTACTGGGACAAATGCTAATTTGTGAGAGGGGAAAAAATCACACCCTCACCTTCTCTTTCAAAATTCATTCCTGACTGGTACTCAGAATATACTGGATCAAAGCCTTGGCCTGCCATTTATTGGTTAGGACATTTTAGGGAAATGACTAGATCTCCGAGCTTTCGTTCCGTAAGCTGTGCAGTGGTGCTCAAGACCTTCTGGTGGGTCTGGGCAGAATGGAATGAACAGTGCTCTAGAAGACAGGTGCAGTGCTTGGAGTACAGCAAGTATAAAACTGGAAATGGGGAAAGAACGGGTAGTATTCATTACATTCAGTGAGGCCATAACATGCTGGAGGGAACATGTAACAAGTATTTGGTAATATTCTGTTGTATAAGAAAAGAACAAGGGTGCTCAGTGGTTAAGACCACTGCTTACTCTTCTGAAGGTCCTGAGTTCAATTCCCAGCAACCACATGCTGGTTTACCACCACTTGTAATGAGAAATGGCACCCTCTTCTGGCCTGCAAGCATGCATGCAGATAGAGCACTGTATTATTAATAAATAAATAAATCTTAAAGAAAAGAACAAAATCTAAAGAAAAAAGGACCATAATTGACTACTTTAAAAACACTTAAACCTATAAATATTGCTGAAAGACAAATTAGAAAAGTATATCTACTTATGTAATTTAATAATTGAATATTCATAAGCTATATAAAATGTCTACAAATTAGGGCAACCAAGAGAAACAGTGATAAGAAAATGGACAGAGATTATACGGCACAAGGGTATCAAAAGAAATAAAAAACTCAGGTGAAACAAATGTTCATGCTTGTTAATAACCACAAAAATATCAGCTAGAGTGACAGTTCTTGTCTTCCTTTGGAAGTCATCTAAAGTATACGGAGGAAGGCAGTGAAAATGGGTCAGCAGCTGTGCAGAGAATGAGTCTGCACTGCAGAGGGGTGAGCCTAGAGTACCGTACACAGACTTTCCTTAGTCAGAAATTACTTCAAGTTTTATTAGTCATATTTTCAAAATACTTACTTGGACATGCTTAAATACATACATACATAAGTACATACATACACACACACGCAGGACTTTACTATTGTGTATATTTAAAGGCTCATCAACAGGAAAATTAAATAAATCAGATGGTTTTAGATAATCAAATACCACATATAGCCACAGAAAAAGAGCAGCAATAGTACATATATTTATATGCAAAGTTAAGCATAACTGGTTTTTGGGTTTTTGGGTCTCAATATGTAGCTCTGACTGCCTTCCAATGCATAGATTCATCTGCTTCCATGTCCCAAGTGCTGGGATTAAAGGTGTGCACCACTGTGCCTGGCTGTACACATTTTTGTAACCAAAACATTGCAAAAAATTTGCAAGTCAAACAATAGTATGTGTAGTATGAAATAATTCTTATAAAAGTAATACTGATTATAGGACTTAATAATGGGTGTGTAGGACAATACATTTAATAAGAAATTGTAATCACAAAAATATACTTGTGAGCAGTTTTCTTAATTTCTTAGGTTAAGAAATGATTTTATATTAGGGACAGTCTGTATTTTCTCATAATTATTAACTCAGCTATATTGAAATATGACTTTTTTTTGCAGTTGTTGAAAAGCTCAGAGAAATGATGGAAGAAATTGAAAATGCAATCAATACTTTTAAAGAAGAACAGAGACTGATGTATGTTTTAAACTCATTTAATCTAAAGTTTTGACCTTGGTTTTCTTTCTTTTTTTTTTTTAAGATTTTATTTATTATGTATAGTGTTCTGTCTGCATGTACACCTGCAGGTCAGAAGAGGGCACCAGATCTCATAGATGGTTGTGAGCCACCGCGTGGTTGCTGGGAATTGAACTCAGGACCTCTGGAAGAGCAGTCACTGCTCTTAACCTCTGAACCATCTCTCCAGCCCCCTGACCTTGGTTTTCTAATAACTCACTTTTAGGTTGTCACCTATTAATGTACTACAAGTCTTACAGTCAGTCTATCTTCTGTCCTAGAGTTTAGACAGCCTTTCATTCTTAAAACAAATTTTCATTCATGTTGTACACTAGAAGATCTCGAAAGTTTGAAGGACTGTTCATATTTGAGGAAACACTTCTTTTAAGACTCAGATATGAATATTATTATTAATATTGGAAATGTCAACAGGGGAGAGGAAGCAGAGTCAGGGATAATTAAATTTTCAGGGGAGTGAAGGGCTAATATGGATTGGTTGCTATGTTATTCACACTTCATTTTTCTTAATTTTAGATATGAAGAGCTTATTCAAGAAGAGAAAACAACTAATAATGAGCTGAATGCAATCTCCAGGAGAATTGACTCCTGGGCTTTGGGAAATTCAGAAACAGAGAAAGCTTTCAGAGCGCTCTCCAGCAAAGTCCCCGTAGACAGAGTGGCACCAAGTACTCTGCCAAAAGAAGTTGTGGAGTTTGAAAAATTCCTTCAGCAAACAGGAGGGCGACAGGGGGGCTGGGACGACTTTGACCACCAGAACTTTGTGAAAGTGAGGAGCAAACATAAGGGGAAGCCGGCGTTCATGAAGGAGGCTGTGGAACACCTTCCGGGAAGAACGCTGCGTGAAGTGGAGCAACACGAGAAGTGGTATCAGAAGTTCCTGGCTCTAGAGGAGAGAAAAAAAGAGGTAATAGTAGTTGCAACAGCTCTTGTGCAGCATGTATGTGCGCCAGACACTGCAGAACTCTTAACTGAATCACCAGTGTTCCACAACAGCAGACAGTCAGCCCAGGAGCTTGTAGAGCAGATGAAGACAAGATGTTGAATAGGTAGGGACTTGTACTCCATGGTACAACTGCAGCTGCAGCACCACAAAAAATTACACAGTGTCCCATCAGACTGTGTCTGCACTCCCAGGATGGACTGATTCAGAGCCATACAGACGGCAGGAAGAGGCTACCTTAGTTTCTAGGGGAAAACACCTTTACTGTAGCCCGTCTTTTGGCTAAATAATGATAATCAGACATGCTCTGGAGTACCTTTGAATACCTTCTCTTTTTATGTCTATCTCCTTTTCCCATCCCTTTTGTGACTTACAGAATATTCCTAGATTAAAGGCTACCTCTTCTTGCCAACCCCCCGAATAAGTGGTCCCCTGGGGCCTTCACTAACAACATTCCTAGCATGCCCTGTAGAGTGTCTGTGCCGCATCTCACCCAGAACTGTGCCACTCAAAGCTGGCCCATGGACTGGATTCCAGTCTGTAAACCCTGACCACCCTAGCATGAGATAAGGTGATCGTCTGACAGTCAGTTGCCCTGTAAGGAAGAAGTTAATTCCGTCACAGATTCTCGCTGTGTTTGAGGTCTGGCGTGTTGAGTAGCACTGTCTAGATGGTACTGCAAATCATCTCCTAATCCTACAGCTTTGCTTTTCATATTATTTCTCTGTGTAGGATTTATTGAATGGATGAATGAATAAATGATACACTGTAAGGAAAGATGAGGAAATAGTTTCCTGACCAGGTTGGGGACTGAAAAATTAGTAGGTACCATATTATATGTAAAGGTTGCTAGAATTTTAAATAATCTTTACATATTCATATTGGAGATGGAACTTTTAAATTTTTTCCTGAAATCTTGAAGCATCATATATCAAGCACCAACCCATTTAATTGTCACAATAACCCTGTATAAGAATTACTTCATACCATTTTATGGATGTCTTAGTTACTTTTTTATTGCCATGGCAAAATACCATGACTAAGGCAACTTATGAAAGAAAGTGTTTGATTTGTAGCTTATGGTTCCAGGAGTTAGAGTCCATGCATCAGGGCAAGGAACATGGCAGGAGACAGGCATGGTGCTGGAACAGTAGCTGAGAGTTTACATCTTTTTTTTCACACGCATGAGGTGGACAGAGAGAGCTAAGCTAGGAATGGTGTGTGCACTTGAAACCTCAGCCCATGATCAGTAATGCATGTTTTCTAACAAGATCACACCTTCCAATCCTTCCCAAACAGTTCACCAACTGACGACTAAGCATTCAAATATATGAGCCTCTGGGGGCCAGTCTCATTCAAACACCACAGGAGATGAGCAGAGCTTACACTAGAGACTCATCCAGACTCACACCTAATAAATGGCAAAGCCAGGATCTATTCCCAAATAATACAGCTTCAAGTGAGGTGATTAGAGGCAAGTGGCAGTACCCAAGAATGATGGCGGAGATGGAGGAGGGTTCCTGCTTGAAGGGGAAGGCCAAGGAATAGCCCAGGGTCCGGAGATTTACAGGATACAGTAATATTTTAAAATGTGAGTAGAAAAAAGTTGCACAGATTTAAAACAAAACCAAAAACCTAAACATCAGGATACACAAATCAACATGTTTTCTGGAAGCTAGAACTGAGGCTGTATTAAATGTCATGGACTAATCAAAAGCATGCTTATTTTTTTGTTTTGGTTTAACTTTAGTCTATTCAAAATTGGAAAACCAAAAAGCAGCAAAAGAAAGAGGAAATACTCAAGCTAAAAGAAAAGGCAGACAGCACACCTATGCCTTCTCATAGCAAACCAGAAGATAACCAAAAGCAGAAAGAGGAACAGAGAAAGAAGCAGAAACTGGCAATTGAAGCTTGGAAAAAGCAGAAAAGTATAGAGATGTCAATGAAGCATGCTTCCCAGCTCAGAGAAGAAGAGGAGAGAGAGAGGAAGCAGCAGAAAGAGCGACAGCGGCAGTTTAAGTTAAAACTGCTCCTAGAAAGTTACACCCAGCAAAAGAAAGAGCAGGAGGAGTTCCTGAGACTTGAGAAGGAGATAAAGGAAAAGACAGAAAAGGCGGAAAAAAGAAAAACTGCTGCTGATGAGATTTCCAGGTTCCAAGAAAGAGTGAGTAAAGATCCTTCCTGAGTAATGTACAGGTGTGGGTCATGAAGGCATCATTTCCGGGCTCGGTTACACAGACACTGAGTTCATCGTATCATCTTATACACACACCTGCGCTGACCTCTTATAACTGAGCACACTTCACTCCCAACTTCTAGTAAGTTATACTTAAGAGGAAAGATATATACCAGTAAAGTGATAGTGTCCTGGTTAGATTTCTTGTCAAGTCGACACAAGCAAGGGTCATCTGGGAAGAGGGAACTTCACTTGAAAACATGCTTCTATTAGATTGGCCTAAAGGCATATCTGTGGGGCATCTTCTTTATTCTTAACTAAACCCTGCCCACCGTGAACTGTGCTGCCTCTGCACAGGTGGACCTGGGTTGTGTAAGACGCAGGCCGAGCAAACCAGGGGGAAGCACCCAGTAAACAGAGCTCTTCCATGGCCTCTGCTTCAGTTCCTGCTCCAGGATCCTACACTAATTCTCCTCAGTAATAAACTACAACTGTAAGCTGAAATAAACCTTTTCCCCCTAAAGTTTCTTTTGGCTATGGTGTTTATCACACCACTAATAAGAACAATACAGAGGAACTCACCAGAGATAGCTCTGGTACCTATGACTGTTAGAGAGAAGGCGATGTTTGACTTGAGTCTTGAAGGAGCAGGGAAGGAGAGCTGTTCTCCAACCGAAGGGAAAGCAATGACTAGGGGCATGGAGGAGTGTCAACTGTGTGTCCGTGGGGAAGCTACGAACACTTCAGTGTACTGCTGGGGATGCAGTTCAGTGGAAGATCGCTTGCCCAACATGTGGGAGGCTCTAGGTTCAATTCCTACACACACACACACACACACACACATACACAGAGTATTATACTTGAATATCTTTAAAACACATGGGAACCAAGAGGTGAGGAGGCTATGAGCCAGGTTGAATGTGTTGTCTAAGCAAGACAGGGAAGGTTATTCTAAGATACACAACACATAAAGTAACTGTCACTGAGTAAAATGTTATGAATTGCTAATGCGCATCGTAATGCATAGCAGCAACATTCATAAAGGGAAGCATAGAGGAAAACATAAAAATAGATGAGTGGTGTGAACTGTAGTTCATTTCTCTTAGTTTATACATAAAAATGTTAATGAGTAACAAAAGATCCCCTGCTTACTCATCCCCCCAACACACATAGTAAGCAGGCTCCATTAAAAAAAGAAAAGAAACTTGAAAATATGAAATTATATGAGAGACCCTAGACGAGACCTACCTTTATTGATATGTAAATGGATTTAGTTTGCTTATTAAGAGGTTTAGACTGAACCTGTGAGTAAAGCAAATGAGATCCGAAATGAAGGTAATGCAGAAAGTGTCTGCATGTCTGCAGTCAGGGAAATGCAGCCTTTGTTTGGAAACAGCACCTCAGTTGACTTCCCAAGGGAGGCCTTACCCTCTCTGAGGAGCTGATGGGGGGCGGGGTGGGGGAGAGCAAGAGGAGAGGAGGGAGGGGGAACTGGGATTGGTATGTAGGAAGAAGGAAAGAAAACACCTTTGAAGGAATGTTGGCAGCTGAGGTAATTTAAATTGCAAACACTTAAGAACAAAAATTTTAGTTAATTTTGTTTTCTCAATGTCATCTTTTTTGTTGGTACTTTTTTAGGATTTGCATAAACTTGAATTGAAAATTCTAGATAGACAGTCAAAAGAAGAGGAAAAGGCAGAAAAGCAAAGGCGACTGGCCAAATTAAAAGAAAAGGTACTCCGTCTATTTTGTTTTTTTCTAAGACAGATGTTGCTATGCAGCCCAGGCTAGCTTTGAATGCACAAGTGTGTGCCGTCGTGCCCTGCTTTAACTTAACTTTACTTTTTTTTTTAAAAAAAAATTTATTATTATGTATACAATATTCTGTCTGTGTGTATGCCTGCAGGCCAGAAGAGGGCACCAGATCTCATTACAGATGGTTGTGAGCCACCATGTGGTTGCCGGGAATTGAACTCAGGACCTTTGGAAGAGCAGGCAATGCTCTTAACCACTGAGCCATCTCTCCAGCCCTTACCTTTACTTTTTAAACTTACTTTCTCAAGCAATATATAAGCATAATTTTTTTCACATTAATAAAGTACATATTTCCTCACTTATATAACGTGTAATTATGTGATATTCAGGCATAGTCATCTCTTCAGATATTTATCATTTCTTTATGACAAAAGCAGTCCAAATGGTTTCTCCTAGCTCTTTGCAGTCTACAGTCGAGAATCTCTAATTACACCAGCAGCATAGCACACTTTTCCCGGGCTCCTTCCTCACTGTCCTGATCCCTTGACTTTAAGGAGACGGGCAGATCTACTCCACTTATATCTCATTATCTCTCTGCTTTATATTTCATACTTACATACCACAGAACACAACTTAATACATTGTTAGCAATTATTATTCGAGCTCTGCCATTTACTTTAGAAGCACTCTTTTCTGTCACCCTGAATTTTCTGTCTTGTACCCATCTTTCTTTCTGAACCCCCATTCTGCATCTCTGTAGCTGTGGGCGCTGCTCAGTTTCATAGGTAACAGCTCAGGATCAATGAGGTATCTCACTGACTTAACTGATGTTATCCAGTCTACATTTATTTATTGCTCTCACACTAAGCTGTAGTCTATTTCTTTAATTAACACAGAAATGAAATAATAGAGAACTAGGGAAGGACAAACTAGCAGTTTATTAATTGATGTTAGGGGTATAAGCACAATTGGAGCTCATTTGGGCACATTAGTTAGTTCATGTTTGGGTAATAGCCAAGTATAGTTTTTAACACGGCTTTGCGTCACTAAACATTTCACTTAGCACGAATGTAGTTCATATGAGTTAACTGATATTATTTTACTTCTGATCACAGGTTGAAAATAATGTCAGTAGAGATCCCTCTAGGCTTTATAAACCTACCAAAGGCTGGGAAGAACGAACCAAAAAGATAGGCCCGTCAGGCTCAGGGCCACTTCTCCATATCCCACACAGGTGAGAAAACAGTAGAAAGGGATCATTTCTAAAGATTTATAAATGATTTATATTATGCAATTTTATGCAGTTTCTGAATATATATTTTCATTAACAGATTGATAAAGCATATCTATATTTTTAACTTATTATATATATATTGTATGTTGTGTTGTATGGTCATGTGAGTGCTATGGTTACTGTGGTGTACATTGTGACTGTCAGGGCATAACTGGGGTTTGTGTCCCTTTTTCCACCATGTGGGTCTCAGGAATCCACCTTGGGTTGTCGGGTTTGGTTGGAAGTGCCTTTATCCACAGAGCCATCTCACCAACCCTGTGTCTATTTTAAGTTGTCATTTAATGAATAGTTTTGTTGTAGTTGTTTTGATCTTCCTGCATATTTATAATGGCTTTCCTCATTTTCTCTTTAGGGCCATTCCAAGCTGGCGACAAGGAATCTAGAGGGACTATGGGATAATGCAATTGCTGTTCACTTGATGAGAACGCTAGTATTGCTGTTTCTGGAGACGGTGATTCACTTTGCTGTTTAAATGTTAGTAGCGTAGTCAGGTTGGTTACTGTGCTGTGTATGAACTGAGAGGTTTGAAGTGTCACGTAGCACTGGCAGTATTTCGTTTCTACAGAGAGGGTATATGTTGGCCTAGTGTTAATATGAATGTTATTTAAATAGGTTTATGTTACAAACATTATTCTATTTAAATACGTTTTTTCATGGCTTAGGAAATAATTTGGGAGACTCAGTCTTTTTTAAGCCAAAATTTTGTAACTTTTATAACTTGGAAGTAACTAAGCTTGAGTAACAAAAACATAAAGTGTCTTTTTTAAAGAGTTGTTCAATAACTTAGTACTTTTTCTAAGTTTAACAAAATGGTAATTTGTCAGTTGTTTCGTTTTTGTGTAATGAATATTTTGTATTTGATTAAAGCATGCTTTGTTTTATATGGAGACCATTTTAAATAATCTCCCTTGCTACATGGACCTTACTCATATAGTATGGTGTCATCCTCCAGGTTTCCTGCAACTGTGTCAAATTTCCTTTCAGGCTTTCTGGATCCACAGATTTATAAATTTTGTGTCTCTGTATCCTACTGGCTGGTACAGTTTTCTTCTGCTTGCCCCACAGTAGGACCCCTCTTTCTTCTCAAATAAACTAGTTTAAACAGTACACTGAAATTCTAGAAAATTCTATAACACAATTCAGTTCAGTTTTCCATATTAAAACATTTTATGTTATCCTAACTTTGTAGGAGGGCCTGGGGCTGCTTGTTTGTCCCTACCACCCAGAACCAAAATAACCACACAGAAACTATATTGATTAAAACACTGCTTGGCTCTAGCTTGTTATTGGCTAACTCTTATATTAATTTAACCCATTTCTATTAATTTGTATATCACCATGTGTCAGTGGCTTATCAGCAAAGATTCTAACGGTGTCTGTCTCAGGCAGAGGATCCATGGTGTCTCTCAGACTCCATCCTTCTTTCTCCCAGCACTCAATTCTGTCTTTCCTGCCTACATAAGTTCTGCCTTATCAATAGGCCAAGTTCTTTATTCATTAACTAAGAAAAGCAACACACAGAAGGCCCTCCCACACCATAACTTTAATTAGGTTTCAACTTACAACTTTATATACATAAAATATAGGAAATTTACTTCTTACAAATTTTATCTTCAAATGGCTCTAATTATAATTTGAGACATACAGACTGAATGACCCAGAAATTACTAGGATTAGTGATCTAAATCTTTCCTTACATAAAGTTAATAGTTATATAAGTATATGGATTCAAAGTATTTAGATTCCAAATTTTAGAAAGAGATTCTAATTGTAGAGTTATTGGTGCCCAGTAAGTATCCTTAACTGGAAATGCCCATTTTATTTCCTTGTTTTCCATACTCTTTTAAATAATCTGGAACAACTGAGGAATATACACGACGAAGGAATTCAAGAGAAATGAACTGCTACCTAAGACAGAGGAAAGCAAACCTTCTTCTGTCGCTCTGTCCTGCACACAAAAGCACCTTTCAGCTGCCTGCATCAAAGCCAAGCACGCTGGTGGATGCAATTCTTACTGTTCCAGTCTTCAGTATCTTTGGTGCCGGTGTTTTAGATCGAACCTACGGCCCCAAGCATGACAACTACAGGCTCCATGGGCTTTTACTTCCAGCCTTGTTTTTAATTGTGTGTGTGTGTGTGTGTGTGTGTGTGTGTGTAAGCATGATGTGTTTGGGGGCAGACCCACGTGTGCCACAATTCGCTGGGATATATCAAAGGACAACTTGGTGGAGTTGGTTTTCTCTTCCCACTTTTCTGTTGATCCCTAGGTTTGAACTCAGGTTTCTAAGCTTGTGCAACTGCTGAGTACCAAAAATTACCCAGGGTGCTTTGGGGTTGAGTGTTAAATAAGTATATGTAACACTAACCCACAGATCACGTTTTCAAGGAAATTCATTTTCTACAATTAAAAGTACACCCAAATTTCTACTTAGTTTATTGGTTCTTAAAGGATCTTGTTTGGGCCTAATCTTTTGTGGACTTCTTCGTCATGAATGCCTTCTAAGGCAACTTTAATTCTACTTTTTATGAATAAGGTTTTACTGAACCAGCCTTGCCCATTGGTTATACATTGTCTGTGGCTAATTATGAATTATAGTGAAATTGCAACTGAAGGCCTGAATAGTTGTGACAGACTAGCTGATCCATAAAGCCTAAAATTTTTATGGTTTAGTCCTCTGGGAAAAAACAACCCATGAATAAATGTCTGTGCAAGCAAAAATCAACTTCACTATTGTGTTATACTTCATTTTTAAGAGGAAACCTCTATCAGTATTTCTAAATTATCAACAATGTGGAAATAAAGCATAAGCAGAAATAACTATTACATTGTCGAGTTCCCTCTTATATAATCAATGTTTAATATTCAAGCAAAGTTCAAACCTTATTAAGCAAATGCTTTTTTATATACTGCCTCATCTTTGTATCTTCTGTTTTTGTTTGATTTTCATAAATTCTGCTTGGGATAGCTTTATCTTCTGTCCCTATTATTGCCTTAGCTCTCTTAAAATGAGCCAATGCTTTGTCATATTCTTTTAATCGTAACTGTTCTTGAGTTCTGCCAGTGTCCATTGATGGCTCCATTTCAGGGACCTTCAATTAAGTGAACTGCTCTCTGCCAATTTGATATCTTCACTGTCAAAACACCCGTACTCAATACACAGCATAGGTCCAAACGTTGTAAGATGAGAACCACGTGTGCATGCATTTTTAAATAATTACAGATACTATAAGGAGAATTAGAAAAAGTGTCTGAATTTTCATAGTGTTGATAATTCTCTGGTAAAACGTCTGTCTCTAGTTCCCACCTGTAAATTTAGTTTGCCGATTCGTTCAGCTTAAAACTGTGGCCCTCCAAAAATGAGTCTTTGCAAAATTAAACTTTCAGATCTCAAACCCTTATGTTGTGTAGGGCCAGGATTTAAATATGGATTTCAGTCTGTCATTCTCTCTCTCTCTCTCTCTCTCTCT